TCAAACTCATTTCCAATGATTTTCTTATGATAGGCCATTCAGTTGGAAAAAAGAGAAGAGCCATTGATTATAAAGACCCACAGAACTGGATCTAGCCTGGTGAAAACTGGCAAAAAGTAAGCAAGGGAAGAGGTGTTCTCTATACATGTTCTATATTTCATTCTTGATATTATTATCACTTTATGTTTTCCCAGTAGATGAAAGGTACAAATTTTATTAAATTTTTCAAATAACTTTGTTTTGATTTCTATTATTTTTCTCTATTTTTGACTAATTTTCCCATCTTCTGCTAATTTGGAGCCAAATTTGCTGTTATATTGTAATGCTTTTCTTGACAGCATAGGATTCAAAGTTTACATCTTGATTTGAGACCACTTTTAATTTTCTAATGTAAGTACTTAAATATACATAGAATTTCTTTGTCTGGTAATGAAGGAACATGAAAATAACTATTTACTGGAAACACTGTAATCTTTATAATTAACGGCAAAGAATGAAACTATATGTGACCACTAATATGTGTAGGTTGGACATTATAGCATACAACTATCATTGCAGTTATAGAAGAGATGAAGATGGGAGGCTTGTGGTGTAATACATGCATGTAATCCCAGCTACATGGGAGGCAGAGGTAGGAGGATAATAACATAAGAACAACTCAGCAGGGCTGGAAAGGTGGCTCAGTGGTAGAGCTCTTGCCTTGCATGCATGAGCCCCTGGGTTCGATTCTTCAGCACCACATAAGCAAAAAGAAAAAAGCTGGAAGTGGCGCTGTGGCTCAAGTGGTAGAGTGCTAGCCTTGAGCTGAAGAACTGAGGGACAGTGCTCAGGCCCCACAACCGGACCCCCCCCCAAAAAAAGGAAATGCAAGGCTCAGAGGACAAGCCTTAGTAATGGCACAAAGATCTATCTATCTATCTATCTATCTACCTATCTATCTATCTATCATCTGAGGATATAAATATATATGCCTATAGATAGATATACTTTATATATAATGGTTCAAAGATATCTATATTGATAACTATATGTAAAACTTTAAGTCACTTTTGCTTTAGTTTACTTCTCAAGTAAGGTTCAAGCTTGTGATGCTGAGTCATTCTTTTTTTTGGGGGGGGGGGGGGCGGTCATGGGGCCTGAACTCTGGGCCTGGGCACTGTCCCTCAGTTCTTCAGCTCAAGGCTAGTGCTCTACCACTTGAGCCACAGCGCCACTTTCAGCTTTTTTCTTTTTGCTTATGTGGTGCTGAGGAATCAAACCCAGGGCCTCATGCATGCAAGGCAAGCACTCTACCACTGAACCACTTTCCCAGCCCTGAGCCTTGCATTTCTTGCTTGACTTGCTTGCTTCTGCTTAGCACTCTCTCACTTTAGCCATGCCTCCAGCCTAGCTTTTTGCTGATTAACTGAAGAGAAGGAGGCTTGCAGACTTTTCTACCTACCTTGCTTTTTACATTGACTCTTCAGTTCTCAGCCCACTCCTCACTTGTGACCAAGTCATGTTATGTGAATTTTTTTTTTCTTCTTATATCACTTTATTCCAACCTGAGCACCTCAATATAAAACTAAACACTGGTGAACTGTTTTCCTTACTAATTCTCAATTACTGTAAAATGTACAAGTTCTGCTAGCAGTTCAACACTTAAATAGATTAAATCATCTTTGACACATGGTAGAGTTCATATAATGAAAATACCTAAAATAATTAGTGCAATATACTGAAATTATCAAAAATAAAATAGACTTTGAAAAACAAAGCTGCAAGATTGTTACTAGCATCGTAATACTTATGTTACAAATTACAGGTGCATTGTTTATTATGGTTCTAGCCATGTAGGAACAACCTAAAGCCCTCTTCTTTTCAAAGGAGGAGAAAGAAATAATTAGCTGTTTTAGTAACTGTACATTTTGTATATTTTTAAGCAATTCTTAAATATTACAGAAAATAATAAACATATGGAAACTACAATGCAGTACCCTATTTACAGTACAGTTGAAGATCAAATTTAAAATAATCAAGTTTAAACGTACATAATTGTTAGTGCACTGACTCTATTATATCAGGAGGGACAAGAGCCCCTCCCTCCCTTACAAGATATATATAATAGCCAGCAGTGACTAAATGGAAGTCACAGACACCTGGTTGGTTTCCATTTTTTGTTGATGAGCTCACAAGAAGGTAACACTACACATTAAAATGCATTTATCAGCTTTTGTGTTCCTAGAACAAGATGGGGTTACAGATGACTTATTAAAATCCCACGTAAAAAAAAAAACACAACTAGCTACAATTTAGGTGTTACAAACATTTCTTCTTTCTTCCTGAAGAAGTGGGACCACTTCCACTTCCTTATAGTAATTTATTAACTGTGGAATATAGACTTTATATAACAGAAGAAATTATCATTGATGTGAATACTGTAGCTAGGCATATTTTTTAAATCTCCTTCTAAAAATGTTTTTCAAAAGCCCAAATTAGTTAATTTCCAAATCAATTTCAGAGATGACCATTGTCCCAGTCTGGAAAAAATGAGTGACTATAGGTCCAAGTAGTCATTTGTCTTTGTCCCTAATGATGAGAAATTATTCCCTCTAACTTCCAATGAAACAATTATACGCAGTCATTTTCCCTTTCTATTGCTGAAACATTAGTCAGAGGGATATTATTAAAAATTAAGTTCAAAACACTTAAAATAATCCTGTATTAGAAACTTGACATCTATCATAAGTCTCTTCTTTTTGGAAGTCATACTGGGCCGGTTAAATGCTCCAATTCCACTGTTATTAATGTTTAGAAAGCAGAAAATTCCAGCAAGTTCAAACTGGAGATTTAGTTACTACAACACTGACTCCTGGTTGGCTGTGTCGGTTCAGTAAGGTCCACTCCTCTTCCTCTAGCAGAATTTGCTCCTGGATTCTGTGGTTCATTCTTTGGTAGCTTTTTAGCTATTGCCATGAATATTTCATTTACATTCATTGATGTTTTAGCTGATGTCTCCATGAATAACAAACTGTTGTCATCTGCATAAGACTGTGCTTCCTCGAAATCTACAGCTCTTTTGTTTGCTAGATCAGCCTTGTTTCCTGATAAGGCCATTACAATGTTAGGATTTGCTTGCCTCTGAAGTTCTTTAACCCAGTTTTTCGCTCTTGCAAAAAGACTCCTCATTTGTGATATCATACACAACTATGGCTGTTTGTGCTCCTCTGTAGTACATTGGTGCTAGGCTATGGTATCTCTCTTGACCAGCTGTATCCCATATTTCAAACTTTACTGTTGTGTCATCAAGACACACAGTTTGGGTTAGAAAAGCAGCCCCAATGGTATTCTCTTGAAATTCATGAAATTGGCCTTTCACAAAATGTAGCACTAGGCTTGATTTGCCAACGGCAGATTCTCCCAGAAGTACTAGTTTGAACTGGCATATTTTATTTCCAGTATTTGGCCCATTGGGTCTTGTTGCTCCTCAATTAGCTATATCCAAATTTGAAAGAAGTTCCTAATTTCACAGTGCTAAATCAACTTCCAGGATGCAAGGTATCAATTTTTTTCTTTCTGGAGATAAAGAGACCTGAGCGGGGCCGCAGCTTCCCTGGAGCGAAGCCCAGGAGTGGCCCAGAGGACAGACGAGGCCCAAGGGGCGGTGGTGGAGGTGGTGGTTGCGATGAAGGGGCGTCTCCTCCCAGTGCCTCTTGCTCACACTGGACACGGCGCGGCTCCAGCCGCGGTGCCGCCCCTGCCAGGCTCCCATTTTATGGGAATTCTTGTCCTGAGGCTTTCCTACCTAGATGATGCAGTGAAGTTCCCTACCTGCAACTAGCACACAGCTTTCTTGTTGCATATCCTACCCGTCATGCTCTGGGTTTCCCACTCTACATCACTACCATTTTAGGCTTGGCACAATCAGTCCTGTTTGGCTCAGGTCCTGTACCTGGGAAGGTGTCCCTAATAGTAAGATTCAGAGCACCTAGAAGATAGCCCCTTCACCTATTTGTTGTGATATCTTCTTTATTCATTTCTAATTTTTCAAATTAGAATGTCTACCTCTTGCTCTTAGTTGGGTTAAAGTCTTGCCAATATTGTTTATCTCTTAAACTATTTTTGTTTGATTATTTGTGTTGTTATTTTGATCTCCACTTAAATACTCTCTTGATGTTACAGTTTGTTTTAGAAATCTGCTGTTGCAAGCCCTGTGCCTTGGCAACATCTCCCCAGTCTCCATCATTACACCATCAGCTCTGTCAACAATAATGCCCTTGAAAGACATGAACTTTACATTTTCCAAAATATGCCATAGGAGACCTCTTGACAAGAAATCTGCTTGTTTCCCAACATTGAGAATGAATGAGAAGCTCAAAGTGGTCCGTGTAAACTGACCAGCCAACACTTTTGCCTTAATTTGACAAATTAAGAGATACACAAGGAAGAGTGTCTCAAACTCTTCCTTCCTCTCTGCTCCTAGGGTGGAGATAACAGTTACAAGAACATCTTCATTGGCAGCACCTTCTGGAACAGAGGGAAGGAGAAGGGACATGTAGTTTGTTACTTCTTTTCTATGAAACCTTGAACAAAACAAATTGAAAAAGATATTATAAGATAGAAAGGCCTCTTGTGGACTGAAAATGAAATATTGTGAAACTAAGCAATATACAACTGTCCTCTGTAACAAAAGGCAGACATTGGAAAATCTAAATGTCCACATCTAAAAATGGTATCTCTCTCTCCTGCTATTACAGATCTAACTGTAAGACCTAAATCTTGGAAACCACTACAGGAAAATATAGCATAAACAACTGATAGCATGGAGATAAGCAATGACTTTTGGAAGAAGTCTAATTGCTCAGAAAATGGGAATAAGAACTGACAAGAACTGACATTTGGTGAAATGAAACAATTACAGGAATGAGGAGAGAATTCATAGAATCAGAGAAGAGTCTTTTCTGTTATTCATTGAAAAAAGGATTAAGATCTAGATAATGAACAAAAAAACACAAAAATTCATGTTCACTTCAGCAGCATATATACTAAAATTGGAACAATACAGAGAAAATTAGCATGGCCCATGCGCAAGGGTGACACGCAAATTCATGAAGCATTCTGTATTTTTTAGCTAGCAAGATCAATAAAAACCCATAGATTGGGAGAAGATCTTCACTAGCCATACAATGGACAAGGGTCTCATATCTAAAAAATACCTGGAACTAAAAAAATTAAATCCCCCAACAACAAATTCTCAAAGAAACAACTGTCCAATAAATAGGTGGGCTAAAGACTTAAAGAATAACTTCTCTGAAAAGGAAAGAAGGATGGCCAATGGACACATGAAGAAATGCTCAACCTCCCTAACCATAAAAGAAATGCAAATCAAAACAACATTGAGATTTCACTTCACCCCAGTTAGAATGGCAAAAAATCAAGAACTCTAATAACAACAGATGATGGAGGGGATGTGGACAGAAGGGAACCTTACTGAATTGTTGCTGGGAGTGTAAACTTGTTCAACCACTTTGGAAAGTAGTATGGAGGTTCCTCAAAAGACTCCACACAGAGCTCCCCTATGACCCAGCAATCCCACTTTTGGGCATTTACCCAAATGTTTACAAACAAGGCTACACTAAAGCTACCAGCACAACTATGTTTATTGCAGCCTTATTTACCGTAGCTAGGATATGGAACCAACCCAGATGCCCCTCAGTAGGTGAATGGATCAAGCAAATGTGGAATTCTATGCCTCCATCAGAAAGAATGACATTGCCCCATTTGTTAGGAAATGGAAAGGCTTGGAAAAAATTATACTAAGTGAAGTAAGCCAGGCCCAAAGAAACATAGGTCCCATGGTTTCCCTTATTTGCAATATCTAGTATATGTCTGAGTCAAGCAGAAAAGGTCAGATAAGGTGATGTTAGGGAAATGAACCCTAAGATGTGTATTCAAAAGTTTTTTTTTCTTTCATGTGATTATTATTAACACATTTATAAGATTATTTCTTTGTTGCTTTGTATGTCCCTCCCCACAGTATAACCCTTGATTTCACTGTATTTGATGTCGATACAATTTGTGTAGGGGAAGGGGAAAAACAAATCGTTTAAATAGGGATACAGGTGGACCCATTGCAACAATGAGATGTACAAGTCGTTATGTCGAAAACGAACTTTACAACTTTGGTGCAACTTTGGTGAGGGGCGGGGAGCGTGGCGGATTGGGTGGGGGGGGAGGATGGAAAGCGATGGGAAGGGGAAACAAAGGAGGAGGCTACAATGCTTGGTAGGAAATGTACTCATTACCTTGCCCATGTAATTGTAACCCCTCTGTATGGTATTTTCACAATTAATAAAAGAACCAAAAATTCAATTAATAATAGGCAAATTAACTGAAAAGACAGCTCTCAAAAGAAGTACAAATGGTTAGTAAACACATGAAAAAAAATGTTCAACATCCTTAGTCATAAAGGGAGGCGAATCCAAGTGACATTGAGATTCCATTTATTTCACCTCAGCCAGAATAGCTGTCATCAAGAAAATACACAAGAAGCCAGGCACTGGGAGATCATGCCTAAACCCTAGCTACTCAGGAGGAGTGGCTAGATCTGTGGATCTTGGCTGGAAGCCAACCCAATCAAAGAAATCCCTGAGACTTTATCTCACAGAGATATGGCTTAAGTGATAGAATGACAACCTTTAGGAGAAAAGCTAAGGGGCAGCACCCAGGACCCAAGTTCAAGTCCCAATACTGACACAAAACAGGAAATAAGGAAGGGAAGAGGAAAATGTGGGAAAGAGGGAATGAGGGAAGGAAAGAGGAGGGGGGAAGGAAAGAGAGAGGGAGACAGGAGACTGAAAGAAAGAGAGGGAAAGAAGAAAGGAAGGAAGGAAGGAAGGAAAGAAGGAAGGAAGAAAGGAAGGAAGGAAGGAAGGGAGGGAGGAAGGAAGGAAGGAAGGAAGGGAGGGAGGATGGGAGGGAGGGAGGGAGGGAGGATGGAAGAAAGAAAATAATAGTAAATGCTGGTGATGATGCAGAAGTTGGGGGAAGCAATTCTATGCTATTAGTGGGAATGCAATTTAATGCACCTACTAATATACAATAAGGAATATTGAATTATTCACTAATTTTAATGCAGGTTAGTGTTAACAACTTGTTCAGCATAACACTGTTCGAAGTTGCTTAAGTTGAATCACACCTGTACACTTGAATGTCTGCTCACCAATAAAAACATGACATAGAATGTTACTCTTTTTGTTGTTTAATGAATAAAATGTTAGTTTAGTTATTGTGAAAAACTTATATGTAAGAAAGTTAGAATATAATCTTTCACAATGTATTATTCTTTAAAACCTTTAAAATTTGACATTTTTGAAAATATTAAATTGTTTTTACAAGTTAGAAAATGATTTTTTTTAAAATTTTATTTTATTTTATTTGAGAACATACTGTACAGAGGGGTTACAATTACATGGGCAGGATAATGCATACATTTCTTACCAAGCATTGCAGCCTCCTCCTTTGTTTACCCTTCACCTCCCTTCCCAGCCTCCCCCCTCCCTCCCACCCAATCATACCCCCCCACCCCCCCCACCGACATTGTAAAGTTGGTTTTGACATGACATTTTGTACTTCTCATTGTTGCAACAGGTCCACCTGAATCCTTAAACGACTTGTTTGTCCCCATCTCCTCCACATGTTATACTGACATCAAATATAGTGAAAGCGGGGGTTACACTGTGGGGGAGGGACATACAAAGCAACAAAGAAATAATCTTATAAATGCGTTAGAAATACATGCATGAAAGAAACAAACACATTAAAATACATATTTGAGGTTTCGTTTTCCTAACATCACATTATCTGACTTTTTCCGCTTGACTCATACCTATACTAGATATTGCAAATAAGGGAAACCATGGGACCTATGTTTCTTTGGGCCTAGCTTACTTCACTTAATATAATTTTTTCCAAGCCTTTCCATTTCCTAACAAATGGGGAAATGTCATTCTTTCTGATGGAGGCATAGAATTCCATTGTGTATATATACCACATCTTCTTGATCCATTCATCTACTGAGGGGCATCTGGGTTGGTTCCATGTCTTAGCTATGGTAAATAAGGCTGCAATAAACATAGTTGTGCTGGTAGCTTTAGTGTGGCCTTGTTTGTGATCATTTGGGTAAATGCCCAAAAGTGGGATTGCTGGGTCATTGGGGAGCTCTATGTGGAGTCTTTTGAGGAACCTCCATACTGCTTTCCAAAGTGGTTGAACAAGTTTACATTCCCACCAACAATGAAGTAAGGTTCCTTTCTGTCCACATCCCCTCCAGCATCTGTTGTTGTTAGAGTTCTTGATTTTTGCTGTTCTAACTGGAGTGAGGTGATATCTCAATGTTGTTTTGATTTGCATTTCTTTTATGGCTAGGGATGTTGAACATTTCTTCATGTGTCTATTGGCCATCCTTCTTTCTTCTTCAGAGAAGCTTCTCTTTAAGTCTTTCGCCCACTTACTTATTGGGCAGTTGTTTCTTTGAGGATTTGTTGTTGGGTGGTTTAATTTTTTGAGTTCCAAGTATATTTTAGATATGAGACCCTTGTCCGTTGTATGGCTAGTAAAGATCTTCTCCCAGTCCGTGGGCTTTCTATTGATCTTGCTAGCTATGTCATTTGCCCTGCAGAAGCTCTGCAACCTTATACAATCCCATTTGTCCAGCCTTTCTTTGATTTGTTGTGTTTCCGGGTCTCTATTCAGAAAATTTCGGCCTGAGCCAAGGAGACCCAGGGTTTCTCCTATTCCATCCTGTAATGTTTTCAGAGTGTCTGCTTTGACTTCAAGGTCTTTGATCCATTTGGAGTTGATTCTGGTGCAGGGTGATATATAAGGATCTAGCTTTAGTTTTCTACATGTAGTTAACCAGTTTTGCCAGCACCATTTACTGAAGAGGCTGTCTGTCTTCCATTCTATTGTTTTAGCTCCCTTATCGAAGATTAGATGGCTATAGGTCTGTAGGTTCATTTCTGGGTTTTCAATTCTATTCCATTGGTCCTGAGGTCTGTTCTTATGCCAATACCAAGCTGTTTTGATTACTATGGCTTTATAGTAGAGTTTGAAATTTGGTATTGATATTCCTCCAGCCGTGTTCTTTCCGTTGAGGAGCGTTTTTGCTATTCGGGGTCTTTTATTGTTCCATATGAATTTTTGGATTGCCTCTTCTATTTCCTTGAAGAATGAGGGTGGAATTTTGATAGGTATTGCGTTGAATTTGTAGATAGCCTTGGGAAGTATTGCCATTTTCACGATGTTAATCTTTCCAATCCAGGAGCATGGGAGGTTTTGCCATTTTTTAAGTTCTGTGTTGATTTCCTTTTTCAAGATTTTAAAGTTTTCATCATAGAGGTCCTTCACTTCTTTAGTTAAGTTAATTCCTAGGTATTTTATTTTTTGTGGGGCTATTACAAATGGAGTTGCTTTCCTAACTTCAGCCACACTTTTCTCATTGTTGGCATACAGAAAAGCCATTGATTTTTGGGGGTTAATTTTATAACCTGCTACTTTGCCAAAGTTTTGAATCAGCTTGAGTAATTTGGGAGTGGAGTCTATGGGATTCTTTAAATACAAGATCATGTCATCTGCAAAGAGGGAGAGTTTTATTTCTTCTTTCCCTATTTGGATCCCCTTTATGTCTGCATCTTGTCTTATTGCTGTAGCTAGGCATTCTAATACTAGATTGAAGAGAAGTGGAGAGAGTGGGCATCCTTGTCTTGTCCCTGAGTTAAGAGGAAATGGCTTTAGTTTTTCACCATTGAGTATAATGCTGGCTGTAGGTTTGTCATATACAGCCTTTATTGTATTGAGGAATGTTCCATGGATTCCTAATTTTTCCAAAACCTTCATCATAAAGGGGTGTTGGATCTTGTCGAATGCTTTTTCTGCGTCTATTGAGATAACCATGTGGTTCTTATTCTTGCTCCTGTTGATGTGATGAATAATATTAATTGATTTGCGTATATTGAACCAGCTTTGCATCCCTGAAATGAATCCTGTTTGATCGTGGTGTATGATTTTTTGGATGAATTGTTGAAGTCGGTTGGCCAAAATTTTGTTGAGAAGTTTTGCATCAATGTT